AATAAGGCATCAATCTCTGAATCTTCTGTCAGTGCACACATGGCAGGTAATGTTTCTTATGAACCAAATACTGATGAAAAGTAGATAGTAGATACTGGAGCCACAAACCATATGGTTGGTAATGAACAACTTTTACATGGCAAATTGTTAGTAGGTAATGCAGGAAATGTGCAACTGCCTACTGGAGAGTCTAATAAGGTGTCACATGTTGGTAGTGGTCAATTAGATGGAGGTGACACCATTAATAATGTCTTATGTGTACCAGCTTTCAAGTTTAATCTTTTTTCTGTCTCTCAACTGATAAAAGCTTTGAACTGTTGTGCTGCATTCTTCCCAAATTTTTACATCTTTCAGGATCTCTTCACTGGGAGGGTGAAGGAGATTGGTAAAGAGGAAGAAGGCCTATACGTGCTACATTCACAAAGAAGAAACAAGAATACAACTAGATCTTTAGTAATGGTTGCACACAGGAATGAAGCTGAACTATGGAACAAGAGGATGGGACATGTTCCAGTTCACGTTCTCAAGAAGATTCCTAATCTTAATAGCAGTAGTAAAGTAGAAATAAGCCCATGTGGCATATGTCCATTAGCCAGGCAGGCTAAGACTCCTTTTCTAGTTAGTAGCAGTAAAACAAATAATGTTTTTTATTTGATACATATGGATGTTTGGGGTCCCTATAAAGTTCCTACATATAATGGGAAGTGATGCTTTCTCACAATGGTTGATGATCATTCTAGATGAATTTGGATCTTCTTGTTACATCTTAAGTCTGATGTTACTACAGCTCTCAAATTTTTTATTGTTATGGTGAAAACTCAATGTGGTAGAATGATCAAGTGTTTTAGATCAGACAATGGTTCTGAGTTCTTTAATCATAATTGTGCTGATTTGTTTCAAATGCATGGGATTATACATCAGAGTTCCTGTCGACACATTCCTCAACAAATTGGAGTGGTGGAAAGGAGGCACAGGCACATTCTGGAAACTGCAAGGGCTATCAGATTTTAGGGGCACTTGCTAGTGACGTTTTGGGGTGACTGTGTGGATGCAGTTGTGTGCATAATAAACGGGATTCCCTCTACAATTCTAAGAAACAAATCACCTTTTGAGGTCCTATATGGGAGACAACCTTCATTGTTACATATGAGGATTATAGGGTGCCTATGTTTTGCAACTAATCTACCAAGGGGTGATAAATTTGCACCCAGTTCTATAAGGTCAGTTTTTCTAGGGTATGCAAGTACACAAAAGGGATATAGACTGTATGACATTGAACACAGGACATTTTTTGTTAGCAGAGATGTGGTATTTCATGAAGATGTATATCCATTTCAAGGCTTCATTCAAGATTCTTTCTTTTCTATAAATGAGTTTCAGAGGCTTGACTATCTTTCTGATCAGCCTCCTATTGTTCTACCTTCCAGTGGTAGAGAAATGGACAACCTAGTTCCACCTGCATCTCCTACAATTGCGGAATCTGCCCCTAGAAGCACTAACTCATCACCAGCTACTTCTATATTGCCACATGTAGAAGAAGCAATTGTTGAAACCATGAAGGACCTACAAATAATACTGGGGAGTTGAGAAGATCAGGAAGAACTACTAAGCCTACTATTTGGCTTAAGGGTTACATTGGACCACAACAGAAGTCCAATTCTTCCACTGTAGTTCATTGTCAATATCCTATTGGTGATTTTGTTCAGTATAAAGGATTATCAGCCTCATATCAAGCCTACATCACTCGGTTGTCTTTTGAGATTGAACCAAGTTCTTATCATGAAGCAGCTAAGAATGTGAAGTGGATTGAAGCTATGAAGGCAGAGATACAAGCATTGGAGGACAACAAAACATGGGAGGTGGTGTCATTGCCTCCAAACAAAAGGGCAATTGGATGCAAATGGGTGTACAAAATCAAGTACACATCTAGTGGGGAAGTTGAAAGATATAAGGCTCGATTAGTGGCTAAAGGATACATTCAAAAATAGGGACTGGATTATCAAGAGACTTTTTCACCTGTAGTAAAGATGGTTACTGTCAGGTCTATTGTATCCGTAGCAGAAACCAAAGGTTGTACTCTCTATCAAATAGATGTTTACAATGCCTTTTTTCAAGGAGGCTTGGAGGAAGAAGTGTACATAACTCTACCTTAAGGCTTCTCTCATCAATAAAGGAAGACACGGGTGTGCAGGTTACTTAAGTCACTCTATGGACTTAAGCAAGCTTCGAGGCAATGGAACATTAAACTGACCACAGCACTTCTTAATTCAGGTTTCAAGCAGAGCCACTTTAATTATTCCTTGTTCACTAAGAGACAAAACTCTCATATTGTAATTGTTTTGGCCTATGTTGATGACCTTCTGATCACTGAGAATGATACAGATCTTATTTCTGCTACTAATCAAATTCTGCATCAAAATTTTAAAATCAAAGACCTAGGGGAGTTGAGGTATTTTCTGAGCATTGAATTTGCTAGAAACAAAGAAGGGATCCTGTTACACCAGAGAAAATTTGCTCATAAGCTCATCTCAGCTGTTGGCCTGGCAGGATCCAAACCAGTTCACGCTCCTGTTGAGGTAAATCAGAAACTTACCTCAGTGACTTATGATGCTCATCTTGGTCTTAAGGATGATTGTTTGCTTGAAGATCCTGGTACATATCAAAGACTGATAGGCAGACTTCTTTATTTGAGAATTACAAGGCCAGAGCTTGAGTCAGTTCATATAAGCCCCCAAGAATACTCACATGGAGGCTGCTCTTAGGGTGGTTAGGTACATCAAACAAAGTCTAGGTCTTAGGATTCTTATGTCAGTTACTGCATCTACACACTTGAAGGCTTATTGCAATGCTGATCGGGCAGCATGCCCTAATACCAGGAAATCAGTCACCTGTTACTTTGTACAGTTTGGTGATTCCCTCATTTCATAGAAGTCCAAGAAGCAAAGTGCCATTTCCAGGAGTTCTGCTGAGCCAGAGTATCGTAGCCTAGCATCCACAGTGGCTGAGATTGTGTGGCTTGTTGGTTTATTTGATGAGTTGGGGGTTACTCTCACATTGCCAGTTCCCTTTTATTCTGACAGTAAATCAGCAATACAAATTGCTGCTAATCCTGTTTTCCATGAACGTACGAAATATATTGATATTGATTGTTACTTCATTCGCGAGAAGGTTCATTTAGGCTTGGTTCAAACTGTCTACTTGAGGTTTGCTGATCAACCTGCTGATATCTTGACCAAGGGCTTCAACACACTCACTTACTATCCAAGCTAGGCCTCAAGAATATCTTCATTAGTTCTAGCTTGAGGGGGGGGGGGTGTAATGAGATATGTGATACATGTCGTGACCCAGGTTAATATTGTATAGGTTTAATTTAACCATGACTAGATTAGTAGTAACTACAGTTAGGTGTTAATATTGTAGTTAGATAGTAGTTAGCCGATTATTATGGTATAAGTGGAGGTGCACAGGGTTTTTTGGAACATAACAGAAAATGAGATTCTTTTCTCTCAACTCTCTCTCTCTGCTCTGCTCTTCTTCTGTTCTTCATCTCTTGTGCAAATTCACATAATTGACAATATTATTTAGAGGACATTAATTAAAACACTGGAGGACAAATTTTGGGGAATTTTTTCAAATGCTAGAATAAGGAATAATAAAGTTCATATAAATAATTCCTACATTCGACAAGAGTATCTGAGTATTCAACTATTCATCCCTTATAAAGTAATATTTTTTCTTCATGTCACAAGTTCTGAAAATATCATACAGCTGACCCCGATTTATGTTGGTTAAGATATTTTCAGTTCTTGTGGAATAATCACAAATATTTTTTTGATTATGAATTTACTATTAAAATTTAATACGTAATCTCAATATTCAAGGTGTATTCCTAAATAATCTCATTTTCTAAATATTCAACAATTTTATCAAATTTTAGTGTCTGCCAGATTAGTCAATATTTGTCTCTTTCGATGCAACAACGAAATCTTATTTGTAATAACTGATTTTGTTCGTTAGTTAATTGGTCACATTTTATTCATGAAATGGCTTGGATTGCTATTAATATGAATAGGACGAAATTGTTCTATTGGATGGAATAACTATAAACCCAATCTAATAAGTACCTTGTCTTAGATTTGAGCAGTGTTTTAAAAGGCGTGGGCGTAAGGCGGGGCGTTTTACATATGCCTCAGCGAGGCGCAAGCTCTTAGGCACGGTGCGTAAGCCCCATGAGTATTTAATTTTTAATATTATATAAAATAATATAATTACACTAAATATTTATAAACAGGTAAAATTGCATAAAAATTGAAGAAAACTAAATATGTGAAATATATATATAACTTGAGTCAAAACTAGTCAAAACAATATATTATAAGTTATTTACAAGCAAATGTAACTTGAGTCGAGAATAATAAAATTTTCTATATGGAGGAACAAAAAGGATGACTAACCTGCAATTTGAACTTTGAATTACTGCTAAGAAGGATAATTTCGTTCTCTTTGATTTTGTAAAAGTAAAAAATATTAGCAGACTAGTAGACAGGATAAAAGAATTGGGAAAGACCATAAATTAGGTCTTCAATCAATAAATTTAATACATATTAACATATATTGAGAATTTGGGTATTATATGAAAGACTTATTCAACATATTTTGTTTTAATTTGAAAAAGTCTTTGGGGCTTATGTTTACTACAAAAACATGCCTCAAACGCCCGGGCCATACGCCCCAAATTGCTGGGCGTACGTATCTTGAGACTTTCGCCCCACATCATCGCCTCAGGGGCATTTTTGGTGCGCCTTGCCCTAAAACACTGGATTTGGGAAATTCTATGTATTATTATTGTTGTTGTTGTGACAAATTTCGAAAAATGTAAGTTTCCCCATTTAAGAATTCGAGCAAATATTTCTTTTTTGTTTTTCACCTTGGCTTTATTTTGGTGGGCCATATATTTTGTCTCTACTTAAATATAGCAGCTAGGATGATACATTGGGGGTAATACTACACTTCTCCATCACAAAAAAATTATCAAAGGTAAGTAAAATGGGTGACCTTCACTCCATTGCTTACAGCAACACTAGCTGCTCTTCCCTAGGAGGTTGGGATTTCCATGACCTTCAAGTTTTCAACACTCCATGTAAAAACTCTACTTACTTTTCACTCTTTAATTTCTTCTTCTTGTCATTTTCTTATATTAACCTTCAAGTGTTACTGTTTTTGTTGGTGTATATAGTTATGGAAAACACTCCACCATTTCTGTCCAATCTTGATTCTGACTTCTCCAGTGGCTATCTTCAAGATGCTTTATTCAAATTCAGTTCTAAAAGAAGACGTTTGTTATTGTTTGATGATAATGAGAATTATCAAACTAAAGATTCAAACAATTCCATAAAGGTATGTTGGAGAATTACATTGTCTGAATCTTTAATTTTTACTTGGAAACATTGCAGTTCAATGTTTTCTTATTTATGTGCAGAATTTGTGGAGTTCCAACATGGACCAACAATTTTCTGAGGATTATGATTCCTTTAGCCAGATAACTAAGTGTGATAGCTTTTCGGGTAATTCCAATTCTTCCCTTTTTCTTCTCACTATAGAAATGGAATTGAATTCAATTGTTTTAAGAGGCTGAAGCAATTTTCCATATAATTCAATTAAATGCATTTATTATTATTTGGTAATGATTAGTAACAGCCGTTACAATTTACACATTAAATTGAAATTAAAAGACGAGATTTCTGTTATGATAAGGGAAACAATAAAATTGATAATGATTATTGTGTGCATGGTGTTATTAATGACAGGGGATCCTATGAGCAAAATGAGTGAGGAATATTCCAATATTACAACAGATGTGAAAAGAACAGAGGAGGAAGCCATCTCAGCTTCTCATGAAACTAACTATTATTCTTCAGCATCATCTCATCATCAAAAACTCAACACTCAACACTCCAATTCTGATAAACAAGCCCTACCACAATACCCCAGTTTTCCTACTGGTAACTCTCTCTCTCTCTCTCTCTCTCTCTCTCGGGGTTCATTTAGGCGGTGTCGTGTAGGTTCAATTAAATTAATTACTTTCGTCTCAAATTATGTATATATAGTTTAAAATGTATGTGTACAATAAGAGCAAGCTCAATCATTCTTTATGATGGCAGGGTCATGCATATCGATTAGTTTTGCTATCGGTTTTCATGAAATGTTGAACAACATGACATACCGTTTGCCAATTTCAAAATTTTGCATATAAGTATTTCAACTTTATTAATGTGTTTATTATCAAATTTTCACTTAACCAATTTTAAATCCGCATCTACCTCAACAAAGGATAACAGATTCGCACTAGCTGCTCTGTTTTGGTTTTTTACTACTCCTTCTGTTTCAATTTATGTGAACCTGTTTGACCGGGCACGAAGCTTAAGAAATAAACGAAGACTTTTTGAATTTGTGGTCCTAAACAAGTCAAAAAAGGGGCCCAGAGTAATTGTTCTCATTAACGGTAAAATTGTGAGTTTAAGCTAAATTGTTTTCAAATTTAGAAAGGGTCATTCTTTTTGAAACGGACCAAAAAAGAAATAGGTTCACATAAACTGGAACAGAGGGAGTATGTATTATGTTGTCGTTATTTCTGTGTAAGATAGCCCAAAAATTGAGGAAAAAATAGTACAAGTATGGCGTTCCTCAAAGTTATATCTATGCAGTCTTGTGATCTGTGCAGGTTTCACATTTTTTATAGAGCCTTACGTTATCAAAAGCCTTTGACCATAGTCCAAAATTAACTAATGTATAATTTTGGTATTTGAATTATATTCGTAACAGTAGCGCCATTAATTACGGAGTACTATAGTTTTTTTTCAAATTATAAAGTTGTTAGGTTACCATAGTCTAATAAGTTATTTTCTTAATTATTTGAAGGAGGAAGTGATCAAAAGAGATCAAAGAAAAGGATGGCAGCAAAAGTTGTGTATCCATTTGGCGTAGTGAAGCCAGGAGGACAGGAAGGGGACGTGACATTAAACGACATCAACGAGAGGATTCTGATGAGGCCGACCCGACCGGTAAGGCATCCGGTCGGAGATTTTGCCTGTCGGCCAATAGTATCACCGACCGGACCGGGGTTGTCCGGCAAGACTGTGGTGGCGCTCACTAAAATTCATACCCAAGGGAGAGGGACAATAACGATTATAAGGACTCGAGGTTGAGCAAATAGAGGACCTAGGATTGACTAGTCAATTTTATTTCTAGAGGAGGGGTGTGGGTAGGGAATTCAGAATTTTGGAGGAAAATGTGTAGTTAATTTTCTTTCGGGGGGTAAAAAGCAAGTTTATATAAAATGTATAGATATGGAGGTAATTAAGTGGATGTATAGATCATAGTTACTCCTATGTTTGTTCGTGAACATTAGAATGAAACATGTTTTGCTTTAGATTTACTTCTGACAATGAAAGATTTCCTAAGGACTGTGTTGATTTTAAAAGGACGTTTTTTTTGTATGTAGTGACCGGCAGTGGCAAAGCTAAGAATTTTTCTAAGGGTCTTCAAATTTAAAAAAATTTAAAAAAAAATCTGATAAAGGATGTTGATTATGTGTTATATACCTCTAAAATGTAATATTGTACCTATATATATATTGCAATTTTTCGCCGAAAAACGGTCAAATGACCACCCTTATGACCATGTAGCTTCGGCCACGATGACCAGGATGGATTGAACTATCCAATTAAAGTCGAAAAGCCACTCACTCGACTGAAAAAGGTTCTAATATTAAGCTAAAGTTTTATATAATCAGAATCGAATTAATTGAGGATTTATTGAAACAAACGAGCAGTAATTTTTGTTGATTTATTACTATGAAAAATTCTCAGCCATACATGATACAAAAGTTATTTGAAAACTTAAATTACTTAATACAGAATTGGATATACTATTAACTCCTAAATTAAAAGTTAGTGTTAGATTGTGTCGGTATACGGATTGGCAGTGGTATACGTGTGGGCTTTGCTTCCTCTGTTTATTGTCGTAGATCTTCTCCTAAACTATTTACTTCTTCTTAAACACCCGTTTAACTCCGTCAAACAAATTCCTTCAAAAATCGCCTTTAACCGAACTCCAAACCTTAAAATAATGAAAAATGAGATAAACCCTCGAATTATAATACTGCCTAGCGATTTCTGCATCTACAAAAAAATTGTCGCTTCTGCGGACAAATGCTCGCATATGCGAACTCACTTAAGTCCCTCTATTTTCTTGAAAAGGAAATTTAAATAAATTGGAAGAGTACGAGCTAAAGTGTCTTTCATTTCTTTATAGATTAATTTGCTATCTACCATTTTTTATCACACTTTTCTGATCTTTGTGAAATTTGAAATTACTAGAAAGAGACATCAGGAGAAAGCTCGTAAAGATATAAAAGTAAAAGGTTAAAGGAATAACGGTTAGCTTTTAACATTGGATAAATTGTAAATTGTTTATTAATATTTTATAATCCCTAAATTATCCCTTTACATCATGTTGACTATTATGTTATCCCAACTTATAAAATGATCAAATAAGCATCAAGGCCTGTTTTTCGAAAAATTTAAAAGAAGTGTCAGGTTATGAGAAAAAAAAAATAGTTGGAGGAAAGCAATGCATGTGACTAAAGTGAACTATCCCTTTGACTATTGCATCCTAAGGCTTTATATATTATGTTGAAATTGGTAAGGGGTGAAGGGATAAAAAAGAAAAAGAAAAAGAAAAAGAAAGGACCATAAGGAAAAAGAAAAATACAAAGAGAAATAAAGGAAAAGGTAAAGCGTTGATATAAATTCCTTGACAAGTACAGTTGCTGTGTGGATAAACAATACTGGCACAATGTAGCTATTACTCTCTTTGTCCCAATTTAATCAACATTCTTTTATTTTTAGTATGTCCTGAAAAAATGAGAAATTTTCACAAACCACTATTATTTAGTGGTTATTAGCTAGTTGTAGCTACCATTTATTTTATTACTTTCTATAGCTATGTTTTAGGTTTTCTTAGAGTGTATTCGATGTATTTAATTTCTCGCCGTGAATGTGATGACCCAAAGGGCCATATTTTGTTTTAGAACCCGATTCCATGTACCGAGGCCTTGAAAATCTTATTTTATCTCTCCTCGATTTGCATGCGCAGTCCGGGCGTGTATTCGGAAAGCCCTTATGTGAAAAACTTAAGAAAAGATGATTTTTGGCTTAAAAGGATGATTTTAGTTGACTTCGGTCAATATTTTGGGTAAACGAACCCGGACCCGTGTTCCGACGGTCACGGAGGGTCCGTAGTAAAATATGGGACCTGGGCGTATGCCCGGAATAGGATTCTGAGGTTCCTAGCCCGAGAAATGAATTTTCGAAGAAAATTGATAAGACTGAAAATGCAATAATTTAAATGATTTGATCTTGTTGGTATCGCGCTCGTATTTTGGTTCCGGAGCCCTTTACAGGCCCGTTATAATATTTAAACCTTATCTGTGAAATTTGGTGAAAAACGGAAGTGATTTGACGTGATTCGGACCTTTGGTTGAGAAAATAAGAAGTTTGAAACTATCTTGAAAATTTCATGTGTTTTGGTGTTGAATTCATAGTTCTAGATGTTATTTTGGCGATTTGATCGCATGATCAAGATCGTATGATGTTTTAAGACTTGTGTGCATGTTTGGTTTGGAGCCCCGAGGGCTTGGGTGAGTTTTGGATAGGCTACGGAGTGATTTTGGGACTTAGAGAATTGCTGGTGTATCTGGTATCTGTTGCAGGCCTCTGATCTCGCAATTGCGAGCAAAACAGGCATGGCAATTGCGAGGTCTTCACCGCAATTGCGAAGAAGGCCTGGGCCATCAGGGTTCGCAAATGCGAACATATCTTCGCAATTGCAAAGAGAGTCTGGGAAGGGGTGTGATCGCAAATGCGATCTTTTTGCCGCATTTGCGGAGGTCTGATCGCAATTGCGATCATTACCTTCACAATTGCGAAGGCAGCAGAGATGTGGGGACTTCGCATTTGCGAAGCTCTGGTCGCAAATGCGATATCTGCAACTGTTCAAAATATAACTTAGACGGGATATTTTTGGGTAGAACTTAGGAATTTCGAAATTTGGGGATTTAGACCTCAAATTGAGGTCGGATTCCAAAACCAATTGTATATCCCGGCTCGGGGGTGAATGGGTAATTGAGTTTTGGTCCGAATTTTGAGTTTTGACCAAGCGGGTCGGGGGTCGATTTTTGACTTTTTGGGCAAAATGATGGGAAATCTATAATCATGCATTGGAATTGGTTTCTTTAGCGTTAATTGATGTTAATAAGTTAATTATGAATAGATACGAGCGGATTGGAAGTGGAAACCAAGGGAAAAGCGGTATTTGAGGCTTGAGTTTGGCCGTGGAATCGAGGTAAGTGTTGTGGCTAACCTTAGCTTGAGCGATTAGGTATTGTTGCCTTATTTGCTACATGTTTAGTTGTTAAGTACGACGTATAGGTGAGGTGACGAGTATCTATACGTTGTTGTCGGGTCATAGCATGCGAGTGAGTCTTATATTTGTGACCGTTGTGTTTCTTTGTTCGTACTGTTCCTGCTTAAACTGGTTAATACTCATGTTAAACAAGTCTTCTTATGTTTTCTTGGTTTTGGATATTGGTTGAGTATTGGCTCAAGTTGAGGTTTATGTTGTGATGTTAAATGATGAAACGAAGTTGTTTAATTATGATGCCCTTGCCGGGTTGTTATTGTTTCTGTTGTTTCTTATGTGGTGAGGAAGAATGATAAAGCACGAAGGGTGATGCCGTGCACGTTTTTATTATTGATTATCTGGTGAGCCTAAGTGGTAAAGCACGAAGGGTGATATCGTGCACATTTCTATTATTGATTATCTGGTGAGGCTGAGTGGTAAAGCACGAAGGGTGATGCCGTGCACATTTCTATTATTGATTACTTGTGAGGTTGAGAGTAAAAGCATGAAGGGCGATGCCGTGCATTTTCCGTTTGCTGTGATTACTTGTTATTATCGGATCAAGGTGTACTAGTTGTTTAAATTCCTCCACTGCTGTGATTCTTGTTTTTGGTACCCCCCATAGCATGTTGCCCCCTTCCCATTAATTTCTACTTAGCTTCTATTAAATTGTTATTCTGTTAGCATATTGTTTAACTGCACAGGTTTATGTTATTTTTCGTGTCCTAGCCTCGTCACTATTTCGCCGAGGTTAGGCTCGGCACTTACCAGTACATGGGGTCGGTTGTACTGATACTGCACTCTGCACTTTCTGTGCAGATCCCGGTACTGGATCTCACTAATCAGAGTTTGGGTTGCTGCCTTCAATCCACAGGAGACCCAAGGTAGATCCGCCGGCGTCGCAGATCCTGGAGTCCCCTTCCCTCTATTTTAGATTCCTGTTTTCTTTCATTCCGAAAAACATATGTATTTCCTTGAAACCATTTTTTGTAGAAATTCTTAGACGTTCGTGGATTGTGACACCAGATCTTTGGGGTAGTCGTGTATTAGTGTTTTAAATTGTTATAAAAATTTCCGCACTTCATATCTGTTTAGTTTTAATTACTGTAAATTTCTGTTTTGGTTAATGATTAATGTGTTAGAACTGTATCTGTTGGCTTGCCTAGCATTCTAATAGTTAGGCGCCATCCCGATCCCGACGGCGAGAAATCCGGGTCGTGACAAGTTGGTATCAGAGCACTAGGTTGCTTAGGTCTCACAATTCACGAACAAGCTAGGTAAAGTCTGAGGGATCGGTACGGAGACGTCCGTGCTTATCCTCCAGAGGCTACAGAGTTTAGGAATATCTTCACATCTATCCTTCTCTATCGTGCGATTTAATTTCTCAATGCTAATTGAACTTCTACTCTTTTCTTTCGCAGATGGCGAGAACACGTACCGCTTCATCAGCTGATCAGCAGCCCGAGGCCGTGCTATAGGCCGAGGCAGGGGCAGGGCTCAGCCTATAGCTCGAGCAGCAGCACCAGTATCGGAGCCTCAGGTGGACTTTGATGATGAGGTTCCGGCCCAGACCGTTCCAGCAGGGCCAGCTCAGGTTCCAGAGGGGTTTATCGCTACCTCGGTACTCCAGGATGCTCTGGTCCGTCTAGTGGGCCTTATGGAGAGTGTTACTCAGGCAGTCATACTTCCTGTAGCACCAGTCGTCTCTCGGGCTGGGGGAGGAGCACAGACTCCCGCTACTCACACTCCGGAGCAGATGGCTCCCCAGTTTCAGACTCCAGCAGCTCAGCCAGTTGGGGTAGTTCCGCCGGGTGTTGTAGCACAGACCGGTGATGGATCAGCTATGTCTTCTGATGCCTTGTGGAGATTGGACAGGTTCACCAAGCTTTTCACGACTACCTATGGCGATACATCTTTAGAGGATCCCCAGGATTATTTGGATAGTTGTCACGAGGTTCTACAGAACATGGGGATAGTGGAGACCAACGGGGTCGACTTT